TCCTCCGGCTCCCATGTCTGATTCGTCGGAACCCCCTCTCTCCTTGCGTGTTCGGGTGTTCTTCGATTTCATGTGGTGCTCGTTCTGTCCGCCCTGCTGATCGCGTCGCCTCCCCCCCCCCCCTCCCCCTCTTCCAGAGGACAAGAAGAGAACGACGGCGGCCCACCTGGTGCTGTCTGCCATGGTTGACCACACGACGATTCTCATCATGGGCGGGTACGCCATATCCGCTGCTTTCTCCAGGCGAGTGCCGCCGCTCCCGCCCGTTTGGCTGCCAGGCGGAGAACAGCGTCGTCGCTGTTGTTGATCGTTGCGTCGTTGCGCAGCTCTGTTTTTTCTGCTGCTGCTGTTGTTGCTGCTGTTGCTGCTGCTGCTGCTACTGCTACTGCTACTGCTGCTGCTGCTGCTGCTGCTGCTGCATATGCTGGTGTCGACGGTGTTGGGTCTACTTGAACCCCTAACCCGTGTGTAGGAGATAACGCCTTCGGATTATTTCGCGACCAGCCCATACGGGTTTTTCAGTTTTCGAAACGGGGGCGTTCTACTGCTGTACTGCTGTATACCTGCAGGTGCGAGATCGAGCTGCGGATCGCGGCGCTGCTGCAGGCTCACCTCGGGGGCAGGCCTCGTCTCTTCATCCTCGGCATCATGTACCTCGGTGAGATTGGGCTACTATATTACCGCAGATGAGGTTGTTGGGCAGGAGGGCGCAACAAGGGCGAGCGGCAACCAACAACAAGCACGTCCGGTCGATGCCACTTTTGAGTAGAGAAAAAATGGCGACTCTGCTGCTAGAACTGACGGCCTGACGCACAACAGTTTTGAGACAGCGGCGACGCTGGGCGAGCACGGGTTCTTCGTCCACGGCTTGTTTAGCTCTCACAACCCACGTCGCGTGACTCACGTGGCGGCTACCTCTCCCCCCCCTCGCGCGCGCGCGCCTCCTTTGCACCAACGTTTGTCTTGTGCCGCTCTTCGCGTTGGATTGTCTGTTGCAGTACGTGTGCGTCTTCAAGTATTTGTGTGTGCGTTTGCCGTTACCGTTGTTGCCTTGACGCTTCGCTGAAGCCATGCCTGAACGATCCATTTAAGCTCTCTCCGTCTCGCCAACGGTCCCTTCCCTTCCAGCTTTGTGTGTATGCTTCTCTCTATATATATGTCTGTCTGCCATCTCTCCCCCCCCCGCCTCCCCATCTTTT